AGAAACCGCACTCGCGCTAGAGACCTTCCGCACAGCCTGCAACAACGGCCGAGGCGCCGTCCTACTTTGTGTCGCGCGAGGAAAGGTCAGCGAAGGAATCGATTTCGACCACCACTACGGCCGCTCTGTGCTGTGCATGGGTGTACCATACCAATACACCGAATCCAGAATTCTGAAAGCCCGATTGGAGTTCCTGAGAGAGACCTACCGCATCAAAGAAGCAGACTTCCTCTCCTTCGATGCCATGCGCCACGCAGCCCAATGTCTAGGTCGCGTCATTCGCGGTAAAGACGACTACGGAATCATGGTCCTGGCAGACAAACGCTTCAACAAGAAGCAAACCCAGCTCCCCAAATGGATCCAACAAGGCCTCGACGCTAAGAGCACAAAGCTGTCCATCGACCAGGCTGTAGGCGCCGCAAAGGCCTTCTTGAAAGATATGAGTGTTCCGTTCAGCCGAGCGGAAACAGAAGGACACTCGTCGTGGTCGCTCGAAGATCTGGAGGCTCATCAGCGCAAGAAGGAGGCTCATGGCATTAGTGGAACGGACAACCCAGCTATGCGCGCGTTGGAAGGTAGAGCCGAAGTCGAGCGCATGGAGGTTGATGAAGTGGATGAGTTTGGCGGCACGGCGGATGTTGATGCTGAGATGGCTGAGATGGCAACTGTCGACGCATAGAATGGCCCAGGCGACAAGCCAATCCCTCGTGAATATCCTTACATGAAGGGCGGTGTTAGTGAGACCGGCGATTCGTCATCGTAGCGCTTGGGTTGGATACCGCATTTTGGGCTCACACAAAAGGGTGATTTGGAGTATGGCAGAAGAATAGAATTGAAGGCGCATGATAAGCCGCGGTCCTAAGATCATCCCCTTGATAGATGTATGCGTGGCTATACGGTGAGGTAGACACTTGCATAAGAACCGCACATCAAAGTTGGCATGTAGAATCTGGTTACAAATATCGCATTCAACTATGAACCTGTCAGGACAGAACACCCTGCTAGGAAACCATACACATTTCAAGCGACCGGACTCCATGCGTGCTACTTAGGAAGAAGAACCAACGCCCCAGTCCGCCATGCAGAACTCCTCAGGAAAAGAGAAACTCGGACCATATGCTGTGTTGTAGCGACAGACACCAAGAACCCTAACCACGTTCTCATCTTCTCAGTACGTTTATATCTCCATATCCATGAACAACCATTTCTTGCTTGTCAACTCTTCGCCTTGGCTGAACTCGTCGAGCGTTGTGAGGCCGAAGCCGATCCAGCCCAGGTCCTTGGTTACGTTGGCCAGAGCGGCTTGGTCGACGTCGCGGTCGATGCACAGGACGAGACGATCGCAGGAGAAGTAGTCGACTTCACAGAGTTCGAGGAGGGCCATGAGACTGTAGAACGTTAGTATATCAATACCGATGACGCGAAGATTGACTTACCCAGCCTTCAAATCTCCGTTGATGACGGATTCATCGAAGAAGATGAACATGGCCCTCTCGTCTTCCTTCTGAGCAACGAAACCCCGGAACCTGATGCCACCAACGTAGTCCCACATCTCAATGTAGTCGGCTATCGCACCCTTCTCCTCCTCGAACCGCACCATTTCAGGCGCAGCAGAGTCAGTCGAAGAGTCCGAGTAGCGACGAGCATCAATACCGTAGTCGTTGGTGATAGCGGTGGTTGCAGTCGTAGTGTTGTCATATGGCATACCCATCACTAGCGAGTTCTGGCGATGCTGGCTCCCCTCACCCAGGAATACAGATCGCAGTGTCTCGCAGAAGAGTCTCTCACACTCTCCCGTGATGGTGTATGCTGCCCCCCCTCTGCGCGCCTTGCCACCTTGGGCGGTGGACGCGTTTTTGGCGGCGAGGGGGGGACTTGAAGGGGGTGATGGAATTCCCTGTGAATGTTAGTAGTGCTTCCTACATGGAACGTGAGGCGTGGACATACCGAGCTGACCTCAGGAACACCACCCGGCCCCGGCAGACGGGGTAGTGGAGTAATGGAAACCGTGAAGGCTGGCGGTAGCAGCGTTTACGGAGTAGCAGCTAGCGCGGACATTGCTCGCGGACGAGTACGAATGAATGCTACTATTACTACTCATACTACTACTGCTTCGTTTCGTCATCGCCATTGCTACAGTATTGCCACGGTTGGTTCGGTATTGGTATAGTGGGGTAGTGGTGTCGAGGACGGTGGTGCGTAAGCGAGATTGTTCTTTGAGGTAGTTGCGGTATCGTTGTGTAACAGAGGGCTTGAGTCGACGTTGGAGTTGGGCGAAGATGAAGAGGAGTTGGGTTATAGCGCTGTGGGGTCTTTGGGGCTCGTGCACGCGTCTCGCACTCTGAATGGCCCGCCACTAGCGCTAGAATCTTCGCAATCTCGGAAGCCTCGGTTCTGCATTTTATCGTAATGACTGACGTGAGTTTGCGAACGTCGGAACCGAAATGTGAACAGCAGGGTTGCAGCATGTCACCTCGATCATGTGGCACTTTTGCAGACATGGCGCGTTCTGGATGTTGCTTGAAGATTGTGTATTACTACCGCTCGTACATCTCAACCGGAACACCGTGTAACTTTTCAAAGTAGCTTCCTCAGCGAATCTTTGCTCTTTGGCAACATCGCCTCGCTATATCACTTACAGACCCGCCATATGGAAAAGACATTGGCGAAGAGGACTGAGAGATCCTTCCTCCTTGCACACATCTAATGAAACAACCCCAGATTATGCAAGTCGGATATCTCAGACGACGCGCTATGCAGTTGATACAGAGACAGAAACGGAAATGAGAATGGCGCGAACGCACGCAGGCAGGCGGAGTCCTGCATGGGAGTGGATCCGATCCTGACGGGACCAAGTGGACCCTACTGCGCTTGGATTTTTGCAAGGTCGCGCTTAACCGACCGAGATGCACTTGATGTCGAAGATCAAGTCAGAGTTAGGAGGAATGTCCGGGGGAGCACCCTTCTTGCCGTAAGCCATCGCCGCAGGGATGGTAAGACGACGCTCGCCCCCGGCGGTCATGCCAGCGACACCGACGTCCCAACCCTTGATGACTTGACCGACACCAAGCTTGAACGAGAATGGCTTGCCCTTCTTGTTGGCTGCGTATTCGTTAGTCATGGTGGTACTATATGGAAGTTCGACAACTTACAGTCAAAGACCTTGCCGTTCTTCAGCTTGCCAATGTAGCGCATCTCGACGCGGTCGCCCTTCTTGGCGGCTTTGCCCTTGCCCTCCTTCTTGTCGTCGACGAGAACACCACTGACGGTGCGAGGTCCCTTGGCGGCCTCCTTCTTTGCCTCTGGCTTGGCGTCAACCTTGGGGGAGCCAGTTGGGCCCTGCTCAAGGTTCTTAGCGAACTGAACCTTCTTCTTGTCGCTGCTGGGGGTATCAACCTTCTCAGCCTTCTTCTCTGGCTCTGCGGCACCGGCAACAGCCTGGCCGTCGTTCTTCTTCAGCTTCTTAGCCTGCTTCTTGCTGAGCTTAGCATCACCGTTGGTCTTGCTGATCATGTCATCGAGGGTAGCATCATCCTCAGCAGCGCGCTTCTTGCTCTTCTTGCTGGCGTCAACAAGCTTGGGTGGCTCCTCATCGTCGGAGTCAACCTCAGTGATCCTGGGGTCGTTCATGCCATCGAGCTCATCATCCTCTGATTCTCCCATACCGTCGAGCTCCTCGTCTTCGGAGCCGAGATCGTAGCCGAGCTCGTCGAGACCATCGTCCTCGTCGTCTTCCTCATCATCCTCGTCGGGGAAGGCGAGGTAGTTACCGGTTACGTAAACGTCGTGAGTGCCGCTGACGGAAAGGTAGACCTCCTCACCTTGACGGACGGTGATGTCGAGCGGTTGCTGGTAGTGCTACGCATGTATTAGCTGGAGTGTGTTGGGAATTATCATAAACAAGCGTACCTTCTCGGGGTCGAGAGTGCACAGAACGAGCTCTTCAGGCTCGTCATCCTCATCCTCATCGTCCTCGTCGTCCTCGTCGCTCAGGTCGTCATCGGTGACCTTGGCCTTACCCTTGGCCTTTCCCTTGCCGTTGGTCATGCCGTCGATGTCCATCTCATCAGCCTCAAGCTCTTCTTGCAGCTTCTTAGTGAGGGCCGCCTGCTTGGCCTTCTTTGACCGGGCAGGATCGCTGGGGCCACCGTTCTTCTCGCTCTCGCTATCGTCGGAGTCGGACATGTCCGAATCAGCTTCAGGGAGCGCACCAGCGGCACGCAGACGAGCAGCGATAGCCTCGATGTCACCCTCCTCGTAGTCCTCATCATCATCATCGTCCGAGTCAAAGTCCATGGGCACTCGGATGAGCTTCAGAGTCGCGCGAGGGTGCTTGTGCTCGTCGTCGATTTGAGGCTCGGCATCTGGGTCGATAGCCGCCATGGTGATGCGGAACTAATCATTGTCAGTACTTTGCCATGGAATTGCGCATGCGACAGAGTTTTACTGCGAATTTTCGGCGCTTAAAACTTCGTAACGCGGAGCAGGTAGAACCGGGCGTCAAGGCTACTCACAGTGGAAGACTGGTCGTCAGCAGCCAGGATGGGAAAGTTTCCAGCTGGAATGCGACGTCCGTAGACGCCTACGGGAATGGCGGACGACATCTTGGAAGTGGTCGCAAGTCTATGTCTGAGAGAGCTGACGGGATTGTTGAGAATATGAAGTCGGCGCACGTTTTTGTTGCTCAGGAAGTTGCACAGCTCGAGGACAGCTGGTAGAGCAGGATGATAACGAAAAGCGAGAAACTGAAGAGCAGCGACTTCGAGAGGTAGAAAAAGTTCGCCAAGGCCTGCAGCTTTCTCTTAGCGTGCTTTCACCGCCGGCAGAACGATCCACTTAGCGTTGCTAGCGTGACGTATTCGCGGTCCTCCAACGCGCCACGGCACGCGCCTTTCACCACCAACACCGATTTCGACATGCGGCAGCCGACGCACCTCCGCGACGCCCCATCATGACCCCGGCCCCGATGAACGCTCTTGATCCACCACACTACTGTCACCATGGGCTCGCGCCTCGAGAAGAACTCCGAGTCGGTCCGCAAGCGCATCGCCAGCCACCAGTTTGATGGCGAGGATGGAGAGGAGTACCGCGGCTCGGCCTTTGGCGGCTTTACCGACTACTTCAGGCGGAAGAAGATCAAACTGCAGAATCTCGATGCCGACATACGAAACCAGGCCGGCAACAAACCTCAAATCTTCAAAGGCGTCGTGGCGCATGTCAACGGCTACACGCAACCATCGCTCAACGACCTGCACACCTTCATAGTCCAACACGGCGGCGGCTTCATGCAGTATCTGGATGGGAAGACTACGGTCACGCACATCATTGCCAGTAGTCTGACGCCGAAGAAAGTCGTCGAGTTCCGGAGATACCGAATCGTAAAGCCCGCGTGGATCGTAGACAGCATACAAGCGGGCAAGTTGCTGCCATGGAGCGAGTACCGAGTAGTTGATGAGGGCGAGAAGCAGAATGTGCTGGCTTTCAGCAAGGGCGGCATGACTAGCACCGCGAATGTCAAGACAAGGGGTTATCGGGACCAGACTGATGCCAGCTGGTACACGAGTCAACTGAGGGGAAGCCAGGCTGGTCCGGCGAGTACACCAACACCGAGCAGCAGCATGCGCGCGCGCTTTTCGAACAAAAAGCAGCGGCTTCCTACACCGGACGATGACATCGAGGATCTGCCACCCTCCCGCGAACCCGAAGGCCTGCCTGGCCAGGCTAGATCCGGAGAGTCGAGTAAAGCTGCGAAGCTTGTCACACCACCCAAGACCAGCCCTTCACTAGCCCCGGCTAGGACAGACAACGTGCCGGACGAGGTCGACGATTGTCTCTATACGGACCCGAGCCCTCCTCCGCCCCAGCGCGCAGAGTCAAAAGACGATAACGAAGACCAAGTTGAGCAACTGCCTCCGGTGCAAGACGCTCCAAAGCCTAAGAACCGGGAGCTGACTGCCGAGGAGCACAATGCAATACTTCTACGGGATCCAAAGGTTCGCAAATCTACCGTTGTCGATCCGAATTTCCTCGAACAATACTATCGCGAATCACGGCTGCATCATCTGTCGACATGGAAAGCCGATCTCAAGTCCCAGCTGCAGGCACTAGCGAGCGAGAAGACCTCGTCACAGAGGGCCAAGCAGAAGCGCGCCCCGGGCGCTCGGCGCTATATTCTCCACGTGGACTTTGACAGTTTCTTCGCAGCAGTCAGCTTGAAGAAACACCCAGAATACAAAGACAAGCCGGCAGTTGTTGCGCATGGCCAAGGCAGCGGGTCTGAAATCGCGAGTTGCAACTATCCTGCCCGAACATTTGGTGTCAAAAACGGTATGTGGATGAAGCGGGCTCAAGAGCTTTGTCCAGACCTTAAAATCTTGCCTTATGACTTTCCCGAGTACGAAGCCACCAGCCGCGCCTTTTACGATGCCATATTGGCTAGCGGTGGTCTAGTGCAGAGTGTTAGTATCGACGAAGCGCTCATCGATGTATCGAACCTATGCATCGCTGCTGGTGGTAGTGATGGCAAACAATACTCCGAAGGCAGCAGTCATCGCGAGCAGGCGAAAGCCGAAGAAATTGCACTCAATCTACGCGACGAAGTCAGATCCAGGACTGGTTGTAACGTTTCCGTCGGCATCGGTAGCAACATCTTGCTAGCTAAAGTAGCCTTACGCAAAGCAAAGCCTGCCGGACAACACCAGATCAAACCCGAAGAGGTATTAGACTTCATAGGTCAACTTCAGGTACAAGATCTCCCAGGCGTCGCTTGGTCGATTGGAGGCAAGCTTGAGGACCAGGGAGTCAAACTCGTCAAAGACATTCGCGAGCTTACGAAAGAAAGGCTCGTTCAGATACTAGGGCCCAAGACTGGAGAGAAGCTTTACGAGTACGCAAGAGGTATCGATCATCAAGAAGTAGGGGAGCAAGTCGTCCGCAAGTCTATTTCTGCCGAGGTGAACTGGGGTGTTCGCTTTGAGAACCAGGAGCAAGCTGATGAGTTCATTGCAAGCTTATGCGGAGAGCTCCAGAAGAGACTGTTGAAGGAGAGGGTAAAGGGCAAGCATTTCATGATGAAGATTATGCGACGTTCTCCAGACGCTCCTCTGGATCCTCCCAAGCATCTTGGCCACGGCAAATGCGACACGCATAATAAAAGCCTCACGCTTGGTGTCGCTACCAACGCCAAAGAAATTCTTACGAAAGAGGCATTAGGCATACTGCGCGGTTTTGGTTTCACCCCAGGTGAGCTTCGAGGCATCGGCATACAGATGACAAAACTTGAGCCTATGAAGAATGCCACGGATGGTAGTCTTGAAGGCTCACAGCGACGACTACAATTCAAAGTCGGCAACGCGGAAACAGCTCGTGTGGCGCGAGCCCCAAAAGCAGTTGAGGAAGACCCCATCCAAGACGATCCCGAGACCCCACGAAAGTCCAAAGCCTCGTCAGGAGAAGAGCATGTCCCTTTTGGCGCTCAGACACTCAATGCATCAACACCTTCACGCCGCCCGCTAAACATGTTAGGCACGCAGTTCATCATGCCCTCGCAGGTTGACCCCAAAGTACTGGCCGAGCTACCAGAGGACATTCGATCAAAACTGCTGCGCCAAACGCGTCAGTCTTCTCCTACACCTGCACGCAATGAAGACAAAAGAGGCAACCCTAGCACACCTACAAAAGCTTTGCCTTTCGCTATGACAGCACTCCCAGCCCAGTCTCAACTTGATCCCGATATACTTGCTACGCTACCAGCCGAAGTTCGTGCCGAGATACTTGCACAGTATGACGCCAGCATCACTCCCTCCTCTCCCTCTCGCCGTCCAAAGGGCGCGGACCAAACGATATTACCCCAATCGCCACGCAAGAATAGAATCATAGGTATCCCTGCGAAGAAAGCCATTGTACCTGTCAAGCGTGGTAGAGGCCGGCCACCAAGATCTGCAATGCTTGCTGCCGCTGCTCAAGCAAAGTCTATTAGCATGACTGGTAAAACTCTCACTCAAGCCAATTTCATCTCTCTCAAGAACCCCGCACGAGAAAGTGAGAGTAGAGAGAACTCCGCGGGCCCAAGCGATGATGCCTTTGAAGCGCCCACCGTACCTAAACCACCAAAGGAAGATGACCTTGACCCAGCCTTCCTCGCTGCGCTACCCGAAGACGTTCGCAAAGAGGTACTCGCACAACACAAAGCCGAGAAAATGAATGCTTTCCGTGTCTCTGTATCACGCAAGGCTAAACCTCCACCGGTAGTCGAACCGCCTACAGAACTACCCACGATCAAAGTCCCTCGCCCTGTAAAGCCGACCTTTACAACCGACAAACTCTCGGCGCTGGCGGACTTGAGGGTCGCCATGAAGCAATGGATTGGCGAGTTTACTGACGAAGGGCCGTATGGCGAAGATGTTGTTGCATTGATCAAGTATCTCAGAAAGGTCGTACTGGAAGAAAAGGACATCAGCAAGGCTGTTGGTATGGTGAAATGGATCGACTACGTCATTAATTACGAGGCGGAAAAGGACGAAAACTTTTCGAAAGAGCCATGGGAAACAGCTCTTGCGAAGATCAAGGACGGCGTCGTCAAGGCGGTGAAAGAGAGAGGTTTGGGCCGAGTGTCTTTTGACTAGTCTATGTATGTTTCACGACCTATCACGAATGAATGAGCCATGCCACGCTGCAGTATGTGCGCCAGGTTCGGGTGACACGATGATACCCGACACTTGGGTATCACCAAGAGAGAGTACATTCCACCCAACTTCCAAGGTGCATCATGCGGTCCATAGACATGGACACAAAGGCAACTTTGCGCTAGCACCCGGCAATAGGTTCAGTCATGACCTATGACAGCAGACATATGACTAGGAATCACCCCCATCGTAACATGTCGTCAAGAAATCCTAGCTCTTCTTCCTGAGCTATAAAGCAACCTATACTGTTCAACTTTGTCTATTCTTCCGCATTTTCAAGCAGAAGATCTCTGAAACCTACCGATCAATCACACATCCACACCACGATACCAATAGTAGCTCCAGCGGTACGTTAGCACCAGAAAGTGCAGGCCACGATGAGATTCTGGACCACACTTACGATAGCGGGATTCATGGGGGTAGTATCCACTACCGCGAATGACCTCACCCCATCAAGGGTCTCTACAGGCATTGCAGTGGCGGTGGCTCCCACTATCGTTGCAAACCACGTTCCGAGATCGAAATTTCGCTATCGATCTGTCCAGTTCCTGCTTGAGAAGATAGATCAAAAACTAAACTGGATGTCCTTCGTCGGTCCTGGAGGCGAGGCAGTCGACCCCTGTGCGCCTACATCATCCTCCGCGCCCTTCCAGGGCCTCCATCGATGGTGGCCGACAAACAAGCCTGAATTCACTGGGACCAAAGATGAGCAGATCCCCGACAGATACCTTGAAAGGATGCCGGAGGTGAGTCTTGCAACGCTATGTGATACTAGGTGAAGCATCAGGCTGACAAACATATCCCTCTAAAGCCCGATGAAAGTCTTCCGATCACTATCAACGGTCAAGATAACTGCTACTACTCGAGCGACGGCGCGCAAAAGACTTGGATCGAGTGTGACGACAAGCACTTTGAACACTGTGGTTTCGACCCGCAGATCAAAGATCCGGAGATACACTGTGATAACGGCCGTCGGTACCGTCGCGTGTTCTTTTGCGACTTTGATGAAGAGGTGCCTAAGGAATCATCCTAGCATTGGGCTGTCTGAAGAGAGTGGGTAGAGGCGCTGGGGGTAGCACTTGCCGGACCCAGGTCCTTCCAATTACACCCTTTTCGTTCATACCTGCTAGCATGACTGCCCGTTGTAGTACCAGCCGCATTTCTTCTTAGCCGTAGTTGATACTGTATAGGATCATGGAAACTGTGAGACATGGAAGAGCCCGCTATTCATTCAATCTTGGTGTTACTGTGATACCTAGGTACGTTACCTGACTTACCCAGGTAGGTGCTCTACGCAGTATCAGAACATGACGCAATAATCGCGCCACGTGCTGCTCGATCACATGATCACAGCGCTGTTTCACCGTTGACGTTCGCACTCACTGTTGGCAGGTCACCGATTGCTCCTGCCCCGCTTACAGTTCCATGATCCACGATTTTTAGTCCTTCGCCAATCTAAGCTTAGGCGCTTATCTACTCGGCTCTCACCTTCACCCGCGCTTTCTTTCTGCTTTACAAAACCTAGCCAAGCTACTGCCATTTAACCCCCCAACTTACACTCGTCATGTTTTCGTGGCTCCCTTTACTCGTTTGGCTTGTCGCGTATCTGGTCGCGCCAGGTATCGCGGTACCTCTCGAGGTACCTAGCCCGCACGCACTCTCGAACAGTACATCAATGGCAACATCTGATGGAGCGATGGTCAGTACTTCATTTCAGTGCTCCTCAACAAAGCAAGACTGACCTTAGTACAAGCATATCCGCGACCCCAGAAAACTGAACTCCATCCAAATTATCCTCAGGAAGCAATCTCGGCTCTCAGCAAGAACAGAATACTATTACCACTTCTATGAGGGCCCTTCTGGTATGGCCGCGCCACTCTGCAGCCTGGGATATGGCATGAAAGACTTCCACCCTGTCGAATCTATGGGTCCATACTACTACAAAGGCGACCCAATCAAGAAGCCCCCGTTTCCGCCGGAGGTGAGTCTGCAGAACACTGGCATGATCTGTGTCTTTTATCGATTCGTTATGAGCAGGTACTGACTTTACGCGGTATAGATGACTTTCCCTTTGGATCTCCCAGGCAAATATGTCGGCTGTCAATATACCTCAACAGGCGGCGATCCAGGCTGGCTTGACTGCGGCCCGGGTCGTGACATTCTGCATTTCGACCAAGATGAACGGTATTTAGAACCAGCCCAGGAATGCGACTGGAGAGAGAAGGCATGGGATCATCGCGGTTTCTTCGTGGATACTTAGGCTCGTCTATCAATAAGACGTTGTGCTCGAGGATGGCTGAGGCTGGAACATGCGCACAGCGCAGAGCGGAGATACTCTACATTGTGCGAAGGAATGCATGCATATGCCGCTCAGTCTCTCCTCCGTTTACTACAGTGCAATGTCTTCACACTTCCATACTACGTTTAGCATTACTAGTGAAAGACCCTGTGTTTGTTTACAACATTCCTTTGTCTCCCGCAAACGCTCGACCGCTGCTCTTCACAGCTCACCGCTTCTCTACCCCACTTTGAAGACTGATTACTTCAAGTCATCGACAAGCATTTAATCTACATCAAAGCTTCTCATCCAGCTCCCTTCCTCTAATCAGCGAAACACAAGACCCAGATCAACTTCCAATTCGCCATGCTCAACTGGCTTACTTCACTTGTCTGGCTACTTGCCTGCTTAAGCCTTGTATTAGCAGTGCCTGTCGACACGCCTGCCGGTAATGTCACATCTATAGCAAGGCGCAATACTGCGAACGTATGTTTATCAGCCCTTTTGGCGCACTCCCGTAGCAATCTTGTAGCACTCTTGCTGATGAAGCTAACTAGGCATCTAAATATCCGTACTCCCTCCAGCTCATCCTAAGTAAATTCCCTGTGCGCCGATACAACTGGTTCATCTTCCAGGGACCCCAAGGAATCGCAGTGGATCCTTGCCTGGACCCTAAAGATGATCCGAACTTCGAGCGAGTCTACTTCGGAAGGGAATTAGCGGGCGAGGACGACGACATCGCCCATCCGCCGTTTCCCCCTCTCAGTGTAAGTAGAATATTCTTAAACTCTTTGCTGAGTATCGCATGCTAACTCGCACTCTCTTATAGGTATACGCTGACATCGAGTATTCCGAAGACTGCCATTACATTGGTAGCGGCGTCGACGCTGGTCAGTTTCGATGCGGAGATTACTACATCATCGATTGTGCGAAAGATCCGCGCTACAACGAGGCAACCTTCAGATGCCCGGATGGTCGGGAATATCACCGCGGATATAACTGCGAGTTCTGAGGAGGTAGGCTAGATGGACCCGGGCTGATGGCAAGCGTATGTAAGGGTTAACCGTATGGTTCAAGTAGGCTTATTTAAGTGGCCATCTCACCCAACATATGCATGTATGGTAAGGAATGCACTCGTCCTCAAGCAATATATTCGTCCTCAAGTAATGTATATGCCCAGGTGTCCTCAAGAAATGTACTCGTCCTCAAAAAATGTAAGCGTGGAGACAGGCTCGTGTGCGAGTTCTGACGCGTTGTTTGCCTTCTGACCCTATCTTAGCGACTGCCGTTTGCTTCATCTGAGACTAACTGCAATTGGCTACACACACGTGCTACTCTTGCGCGGTTGCCTACTTAACGCACTCACTTCTCACCACGAGCTTGTCGAGATATCGAGCTCCAGCGCCAATTCAGAATATCGCGTCTCCGTTCATACACACTTCATCAACTCGACAGAGCCTGCCTACGAATCAATAGCAACTATGTCCTCCTTAGTCACCTACCTCGTGTGGCTCTTCGTCGGCCTCGGCTTCGTTCTTGCCGCACCCGCTGAGCAGTTTGCAGACCACCCCACTGCCGTGAGTGCGCGATGGTGTTGAAGTCAAGCATCGTACTGACTGCGTTCAAGGGCCAGGGTCCGTATCCGTACTCCCTCCAGATCCAAGTCGAGGAGGTAGACACCAAGTACTACGTGTGGGACATCTTCCAAGGACCTAGCGGCGTAGCCGTGAACCCTTGTGGAGACACTCGCTTCGAGAAGGTCTATCATGGCGAGCCCGGATGGCACACCAACAAGCCAGACATGGACAGCCCTCCTTACCCTCAGAACTATTTGCCGTTCGTCCCCGAGGTGAGTTGGCTACTATCCTTAGACGCGCACCGTACATGCACTGACTCACCTCTAGTTCGAGGTCCCAATCGAGTACGGCAACCGCGGCGACTGTGCCTACCACGCCACTGGCAAGGATGCGGGCCAGTTCCGTTGCGGCGACTACTACATAATCGACTGCGCCAAGGACCCTCGATATGGACAACAAGTTTCCTGCGGTAACCCACGTCCACGCTACGCTGTGGCCTGGTACTGCGAGTTCTAGAGGTTGGATAAAGAATCTGACGAAGAGCGACCGTGATGGTGGACAAGGCGCAGCTTGAGACATGACTACACGTCTCCTGCCTCCTATAGATATGGGAATACTGAGCCATTCTACGTAGAACCAATGAATGTATGAAGAACGCTCTCATTATCGCTCTCGGTCTCACTCTAATCACCCTGTACGTCAAAGCGCGAAGACCTGTCGCCTAACTTAGTCGTTTGCACGCCCCCTTCCGCCCGCCTTTTTGCCTGCCTTAATCTTGCCCACTAGAGCCGTCAGGTGCTCACTTCTTAGCCAAGAGATCATAGAATATATATGTAGCTCACAATGGCTCTCGCTCAGCCTCTATCCCTGACACAAAGCTTATCCTGAAGGCCTTGACAAAACGCACAATAACATCTCCCTCAACATGCTCGCGTGGCTCACCCTCCTCATGGGCCTTTCCATCAGTCTACTATTCGGCGCGACCACTGCAACATCTGCCCAGTTCTTGAGCCCCGAGGCGCAGGCTAATCGCACCGCACATGGTCTGGTACGTATGCATTCTGTTCTGGGACGCGGTGCTCTACTGACCTTATATTAGCAAGCTGATGTGTTCACCAATTCGGTTCAGATTATTCTTGAGCGTTACTCGATCGCGGACTTCTACTGGTCGTTGTATCTAGGTCCTTATGGTGTGAAGATGAATGCCTGCAAACCAGGAGACTTCAAGCTCGGCTCGCAGATAGGTGATTTCGACTACGATCGCAACGACATCAACAACCCCCCAAACCCACCCGCGGTAAGTGAACTCATCGATTGCAGCTTGGAAGTGCACATGAAACTGACCGGAGCGTAGACGGAGCTACCTGTTCCCGAGTGGATGGGCCGCAAGGACTGCAACTGGAAGACCAACGGTCACGGTGATGTCGGTCAGTTCGTATGTGGCGACTGGATGATCTACGACTGTGAGCGAGATGCGAGTTGGAACGATGGAGCGATCTCATGTACCGGCCAAGGTTGGTCGTATCATCGGGGATACGCCTGCAACTTCTAGGCTGGGGTTCTTCGTGCGTTGCATAACTCGGCAAAAGAGTCTTTCGTCGCTTGAGTAATGTGGTGGACGGTCTTGGGATTGGGATCTTTCTGTCTGCAACACGGCGGAACATTTGATTTCCTCTTAGAAGCCGGACAGCTGGTTACCATCTTAGATACTTGGTGAATCGAATTGGGTATCGCTTCCAGATACACATGCTTATATTCTACTCGCTTCAAGGTGCGCTAGTGGCCGAAAGAAAGCGCTTCCCTATTTGTTTGCTTGTATGGTCTCGGCGTGTGTTGTTCGTCTCTCGAGGGTGTCACTGCCTACGTGGCAACCAATCGGTTCACTTTCGCTTACAGTACATAAACTCGTCCCGCTGCTCGAGCCAACTCTCCTCTCCCTAACGGCTCTCGAAATCAAGAAGCAAGTAGCACGTTGACTTCTACGCCGTTAAACATGCGGACGCTCGCCACATTGCTTGTCAGCCCAGTCGCCATCTTCCTCGGCACGACTTCTGCTACCCCCGTCAAGTACACTGGCGTACAGAGATCCGAAAATGGTAATGATTGGCGCCCCTCGGTCGGTTTTCTGAATACCAAGATAGACTTCACCGCTAATTCCGAGGTAGGACTACTACGACTCCTCGGTCCAGATCCTTCTCCTCCGATCATCCGGTACAGAGTACTATTGGCAAATGTACCAAGGCCCAGCCCTAGTATCTGTGGATCCTTGCGGCTATCCAGACCCCTTCAAGGTCGCGGATTTCAAAGGCGTGTACCATTACGGACGAGACGCGATTGACAACCCTCCGCAAGCTCCTGCTGTAAGTCATGATACATGTTGCGGAAGCTTATGCCAGACAGGAGGGAAACGCTGTAGCTGATAGCACATTCTTAGATGGATCTCAAGTTGTTGAAGTGGATGGACCATGATGATTGCGTGTGGAGAACACAGGGTAACGGAGACGTTGGGCATGTAGTTTGTGGTGATTGGTTGGATATGCCCTGCGAGGTGGATGGGTCGTACAACCAAGGCGTGTTGAACTGCCATGGGAGGTCTTTCCATCGTATGTACGCTTGTAGGTACTGAGCGCGGGTGAACGAGGTGCTGGTTGCAAGCGGGTCAACTTCGGGGTCGCGTCAGGGAAACTCGGGGGGCTGGTAGGCGCTTCTGGTCGAGGCCCCACATTCCACAGCTTTGGGTACTCGCAGTGTGCACATTGCGATGGCGTGGTTTGCATGACCAGATATCCTGTTCATTAACATTTCCATGCGCACCTGACTATCGCTTGCCAACCTTTGAGAATTTGGAGGACATGCCTTTGGCCTCGCGATTGGGGGAAGAAGAGACGTGAGCTGGAGCGTGCGCGATCATCAATGACGACATTTACTAAGCCCGGAATGGTTAACATGCATAGCCCTCTTCCCGAGGTCGCGAAGTGAGTTCAGTTTCGACCTTTTCCTCATCGTCTACATCTTTGCCAATTGTACTTTTCGAGTTCCCAGAATTCGCATACCCCGATACCCAGCGCACGAGTATCACATTAGTCGAGGTTAAAGTTTTGGCTTCTTCCGAGTATTCACTAGACTACGAGCCGAATGCGAGTATAGTATGATGCCGTATCGGTGCAGCCGAGGATGTCTTTTCGTCTTCGTCGATATGGTTGGTTGATAGTACCAAGTAGCAGGACATGAACAGGATGGTTATAAGGACGTCCAGAGCTTCTGGCATATGAACTTCCCCCTCACAATCATCAGTGTCAACACCGGATCGCTTATACTTTTCGAGCTTTTTGGGATAATCTTTTTCTTCTTACGACCTACTAGCTGCCTCGCGATATGGAAGCTCCTCTATTCTATTCGTCCAAAGGGCCAGAAAATGCTACCGCCTTCGTCAACGGACGAGTATACACCGTGGACGATGCGCAACCATGGGTTGAAGCCTTCATCGTCAATCCCGACGGCAAGTTTGAAGCTGTCGGCTCGAACGAGGAGATCAGAACCATTGCTAAAAGAAGAGGACTCGTTCAGTACCAACTACAAGAGAAATTTGTCATGCCCGGTATCCACGACGCTCATACTCACCTCTTAGCGGCTGGATGCCAGCGCACTGGGGAAGCACACGTCGGCTGGGATAGCACCGACAAGACCCTCGCCAGCAACATCAAGTCAGCTTCCTGTGCCTGCGCTTTTTCAAATGTCATGGGCAACTGGATTATAGGCAACTTTTACCAGGCAAGCAACTTTGCCGATGGCATTCCCGACAGAAAATACCTCGATGAGCTGTACCCCGACGACCCCGTAATCGTGCGCGAAATATCCTGCCATCGAATTCTCGTGAATTCTGCTGGGTTGCGTGAGATGGGTATCGACGACGACGTCAAGGACCCGCCTGGGGGTTTCTTCTTTCGTCGAACTGATGGCACACTCACCGGAGAGATTGTCGAGGCTGCAACAACTCCAATCTGGCGCGGTCTACGGCGCACACCACTCAGCTATGCCAAGACTGTCATCGAGTTTGCCATGTCTGAATGTCATAGGTATGGCATTACATCCGTGCAAGAGGCATCGGCCAACACCGTCTATCTACACGCCGTGCGTGAGCTGGAAGCGGAGAATCGCCTGCCTCTAAACATACACACACACATTGTTGCCGCACCGGAGAAAGCTCACGAGCGCGAGGAATCACTAGCAGCTCTGCTCAATGTTGCAGAAGCTTTTGAGAGCAAACATGTTCACACGAGCTTTGTCAAGTTCTTCCTCGACGGCGCTCCGCTTCCTCCACAGTCCACCCAATGCGATTTGAACGACCATGGAGCGCCCGATGCTAAGCATTTGCTGTTGAGCTACGACAAGCTACTCGAACAAGTTCTCAAATACGATGCTCGGAACATGACATGCAAGATCCACGCCGCAGGCGAGGGAAGCTTGCGGCTTGCGCTGGACGCCTACGAGGCTGTGCGAAAGAACAACCCCAACGGTCCCAAGCACGAGGTTGCGCATTGTAATGCAGTCCATCCAGGTATGTGAAGCCATCCCTGGGCATCCTTCGCGAGATCTTCATGCTAGCAAACTAACTTATGCTGTAGATGACATCCCACGGATCGCACGCCTGGGCCTTACCGCCGAAATGTCCCCGGCAATTTGGCACCATCCCATTGTGCAAGCAGCGCCCCATCTGCTCAAGTGGCCCTTCAACGATATTCTGGCTACAGGCGCTCGTATGACGATTGGCTCGGATTGGATCTTGACTCCCAACCCGAGTTTGTTCGATCCACTTGCACACCTGGTGGAGAGACTTGAAGTGCCTGAAACACCAGCCCATAAGGGATTGAACAAAAGGCTGGTAGCCGCTGCAACGCTCTGCCGTATGATCACGTTGGGAGGTGCAGAAGCGGTGGGAAGAAGTCGCACGCAGGGCAGCATTGAAGTTGGGAAGATGGCAAACTTCATTGCTGTTGACCAGGACTTGAGTCAGGGAGAGTTTGCTGGAGCTACAGTCTTGAAGACTTGGTTTGAGGGACGACAGGTGTATAGTTCTGTGCCGGGCCAGTTGGGGTTGAAATGTTGATGGCTTGGCCTTCTGTAGATTAGCCCCGCCATCAGCGCATTTCATTTCCAGCAATGAAGAGATCCGCGGCTTTGGCTATCCTCGCCTCAGTGATTGGCATCTTCAGTCTCAATCTTCTCTTCTTCATCGACTTCTCCAACCAGTGTGTATCCTTGAGGTTCCTTCACAGCCGCAACGAATATAACGCTCCCCACGATCAATGCCGCACCAGCGAACTTCCACCATCCCGGCTCCAGTCTCCATACAATCTTATCCGCTAACATAGCGAACACCACCTGCAGATTTACTATGTGAAGCGCTCTCTTCGAATCGCCGGTCATCAAGCTCGCTGCCAGGAGCCAATGCATAGCGAACCCCAATATGCCCAACACGCACACGAACAGCCATCCTACGGCGGTAGATGGGAAATTCAAGCCTTGTTGCTGTATGATGAGTGATGCCCAGCTGAGTAGCGTACAAATGGGCGCAAAGTATGCAACCGTTGTCATCGGGTGTACGTGCTCTCCTAGACACGACATCGTTAAGAAAGAGACTGCGCCGCCGAAGACACCGATAAGTGCCGCACCAATGGCCAGCGCATGTTCTCTAGGCGTATTCGTTATATGAGCGCTCCATGGCTGCAATACGCAGAGTACGCCAATGACCGCAATTAGAGCTGCGAGAATTTGAGCGACAGAGCAGCGCTGCTGACCTGGTAATAAGCCGAGGAGAAGAGCTGCGAGAATTGGCGCGAGGAAGTTGATCAGAGTCGCCTCAGCTAATGCGAGATAGCGCAGAGAGATGTAGAAGCCCCAGATACCGAAGAAACCCGCAACGCCTCTTACGACGAGTAGAGGGCGCAGCTTAGGAGGACCAAATGCACCACCGGGAATGGCTGCCGGGGACAGTAATATGTACGTCCACGACAGAATGGTGATGATCGACATCATAACAATGAGTATCTGGAGAACATTAGTATTTGCGTAGGTGGACGGGGAGCATATTCCCATACCTCGGAAGTACCGACTGTTGTGGTGCCTGAGCCGTCGCCGCTACGCTGCGTTCCCAGGATGCGTCCCAATGTCGCCAGGATAGTGGAGCATACTTGCGCCAAGAGCATGAGAATAATGCCGGCATTATTATGAAGGATAAGATCTGCGCTGCTCGCAACACCATGGATTTTATTTGTTATTGATGTAGCTGAAATCATGGTGTTGTGATGGGGAAGGTGTACGGAAAGCTCTCCGATGGAAGACGAGCTCGGGATGCAGGAATGTGAGACTTTACGTGTATTTGAAGTGTTTCACGCCTCCTTTCAGCACAACCTTCCCAAATGCGCAGCGGAACAATTCCTGTATTCTTTACCCTTGGTCGCGTTAATTGAAGAAGGAAATATGTGCCTTGAAACTCAACAATGCGGCTTTGGTGCGTTCTGCCGCACGTGCATCAACAAATTGCGGTTTGCGCAAAGGCTGCATCATAATGTTTTTGTTAATAGACTCAACAGGAGGCTATTCCATCTGCCTCGCACGCGGTTGATGATGAAGTTGAGCTTGTCATTTACTACCTCGTTAGCAAAGACGAGGGTCCGAAATGTATATCCAGCCCACTGCCGGTAACTGGACCCCAGCCATCTTTGCGGCATCGAGCAGGATTCTTACATGCGCCAGAAGGTTATCGCTAAATATGTGCGACACTCACTATGGCTGTGAATCTTCGCCGGTGACCCCTCATACCTTCTCTTATCCTTGACATCGAACCCGTCCTTGTGCAGAGTGCGTACTATCTTCCCATGCGTCCTTCGTGATGCGCCAGATCCACTCATTCCCAAACAACTTATCTTCTATTGCGTCAGCCGGAAATCCGAGCTTCTTGTTCATCAATCCCTTGAACGCAGTATTAGCATCTACACAAGCTATGTGTATCTCATCCATGCCCAGGACAGCAAAGCCATGATCAATGGCCATACACAACGACTCATAGCCGTAGCCTGAGCCACGATAACATGTGTCCAACATCAAGCCTGCGTCACCAATCAGCTTGCCATCAGTCTTTCTTCTGCCAATCCAGCCCAAGCCGCCGGTACCGACAGTCTTCCCATCTATCTCGATAACGATGTTGGCACGCTGCAGTGGTAAATCGACGACCTGCCATTGCTTGATCAAATGCTCAATGGCGTCACTACTGTCAAGACCGGCACATGACTTGTCGTGCTGGACATTGCGATCGTCGGTGAAGAGTCGTAGGAGTGCAGAAGCGTCGTTCGTGTTAGGAAGGCGGAGATGCAGTTGGGGAAACGTAAGCGATGTGATACGTAAGTCGCTTTCACCTTCGGACGATAGATTCGTCGAATGTGTGTAGAAGACGGTACTACCGGTGGCGACAAGCGCAGGGTATTCAGTCCCTGCAGGCATGGTCTCGGGGTTTCAACGGGCTGGGTAACACTCAGAGAATCGGAGGTTTGCGCAATTGACTAGTGTGGTGTATGCAGATGGGTGCGCATACATCAGCTTCTCCGTCGATGCAACGTACGTTGGGCGTGATTGTGCCCGCCTCCGATGACGTGACGGCGTTCATCCGCGTTGACTTTAGGTATGATGGCAGCCAACAGATCAAGGCCCTGTTTGTTTCTGCTGAGTAGACTGACTGCTGACTGCGATCACAATACTTGCCGTAGTCGGTGAAGCTCGGTGAGGCTCCGACGAGGGTATTCCTGTGGGTGATGGTGTGCGGCACATTTGCGGCATGGGGCTTGGTGCCTCTACGCTATCCTGGAAATGGAAAATTGCACGTGGCCCCAGCTCAAACGTGAAAACAAAGGAGATGACGGCACCTGCATGCTTCAACACCACCTTCCTCCTTGTGCATATGCCGGAGTGGAGTGTATGCAAACATCATCTCCAAGGTTCCAGAGCCCGATAGGGCTTGCTCTTCCACCAAAAACATGCTGTGGGTAGCTGGCAAAGGGTTTTAGGTCAGCTCAATTCTAGCTTTCACCATCGTGCTGAAGCCTGGACATATCAGAGCTCACGACAACTTCAACGACGTACAACGTCTTGCATTACAATGTCTCTTCTCTGACCTTTGTACCAGGTTGTCCACATTGGGCTGACATAGTAGCGGCTATTGCACGCATGCTGGACGAACGGAGAGTGGCGGTGTCAGAGCATCGCTAGGTACCAGATTATCGCGTCGCCATCCCCAACAGACTACGTATATGTACACTCATTCGTTTGATGCCTTTCGCACGAATCCCGGGGTACCAGACGCCGTGTGATCATCGCCAAAATTTGTCTCGCGTTCGCATTAGACTAGAGATAAACTACTGCGCGACTATGCGTGGAACTCATTTCCTCTACACGACCGCTGTGGCAGTATACTGTGATTCGAAGCAACGTGGATGGTGAGATGGGTCACAGTCTTGCTACTATAGAAGGATTGGCTCTCGCCGCAAGGGTGTCGGCTCAGATGCACTGAACGCGCAACGCAGATCTTCCAGTCGCCACTTGCAAGACAAGATACACTTTCAAAGAGATCTGTCAATGGAAATTGTTGAGGCTAAACCTGTAAAACCGCCTACAGACTTCAATTGCGTCGCTTATCTGAGTATGTGCTTCGTCTCTAAGCATGTCTTTAGCTGACAGCGTACAAATCCTTTGCCGATGACGATGATGATGTTGAGGCCCATCTTGTGGCTTGCAGGGGGCTTCTGATTCAAAGAAGCATCGGAAAAAGTAAGACATAGTCTACAGACACGGCATCCACTTGGCTAACAGCCATGATCGCTTGAGGTGATGATGGTCGCGGTGCAGCTGCAGGAAGTAGACATGTTCCAGCATTTCCTACACCGCCGTATATAAGACTCAACCTCTGCGTCTATTCTAGCTAAAGCATTCTTCAGTATCGACCGTCTGATCCAGAGTACATAAGATCATTTTCCACTGCATCCCGCAAGAAGTCATTGCCTTCAATCCCAGCTTCTGATTACTTGTGGAAAGACTCAACCAGAGTTTAGCCAACAAGGTGGTCGCATCACTATGGCCGTCACAAGTTCACAACAACAGCGTGCGCTCATTCTTGATATCGGCGATGTGCTGTGTCACTGGTCTATCGAAAATCTCACTGCCATCTCTCCTCAAAGTCTCCACGCCATCACCCGATCGCCAACCTGGAGCGAACTGGAACGCGGCTGTATTAGCGAGACAGAAGCCATCCAAGCTATCAGCAAGGAGCTCTCTCTCGATCCTGACGCCATCGATACCGGGCTCATGGAATGCCGCAAGACATTGCGCGTCGACCAAGAGCTCACATTCCAACTCAAAGAGCTCAAAGCTGAGCTAGGTGACCATCTCAAGGTTTATGCCATGAGCAACATTGCCAAGGAACATTTCGCCTTTGTCAAGACCGTACTATCCGACTGGGATCTGTTCGACGGCGAGTTTTTGTCCTTTGAGGTTGGCATGACGAAACCTGATCTACAATTTCACCAGCATGTTCTGGATAGCCTCAACTTGAGCGACCCTTCTTCCGCGATCTTTGTGGACGACAAAGTCGCCAACGTCAATGCCGCCCGCTCCTTCGGAATTCATGGCATCGTCTTCGACTCCTCGACCGCTCTTATTCGTCAGTTGCGTAACCTTTTGATGGATCCTGTTGCCAGGGCACGCCGCTTCATGACCGTGAATGCGCACAAGCATACATCGTGCATTCAGGATGTCGCCCCCGTGATTTTTGATCACTTCGCCCAATTCCTCATACAAATTGAGTTGAATGATGATAGCGTCATCAGTCTCTCACCACCCGGCGCTTCCAACGCTGATGTCCAATCGGACATCCGACAGGCCCGTAGCCAAGCCAAAGCATGGAACTTCTTCAATGGCCCACCAGTCGGCACAACGAAAACGTGTAAGTAGAATCGATGAACAGTTGTGGTATATGTGCTGACTTCATACGCCTGAACCTAGACCCTGATGATGTCGACGATACAGCTCTCGCCTTTCTTGCGTTCTCTCCACCTGCAG